TATATACAATATATATAAACAATATTATAAAATATATATATTATAAATTTGTAAATATAAATATTATAATATAAATTTAATAAAATAAAATAAAATAAATAATAATAATAATAATAAAATAATAAATAATTAATATATTATATAAGCTTAAAAACATCTTAATTTCTTCTTTTGTCCAGGCTATGCATCTGGTGTACCGCGCTCTGGAGAAGGAGCCTGTGCCCTCAGTCCTGCCCTCCTCTCTCATCCCTCCATCCAAAAGGAAGAAGTCATCAGGGTCCTTGTCCAGTATGGTGCCAGTGTTACCAGGCAGCCCGCCGCCACCTAAAGACAGCCTGCGCTCGACCCCCTCTCACGGCAGCATGAATTCCCTGAACAGCGCCGGGAGTTTGTCCCCAAAACACACCATTAAATCCTCACAGGTACACTTTTATTGGTGCATCTTCATGTTCATGTTGTACAGAAGATTTGAAGAGGATCTGATGTTTTTAACTCTATCTTCAGCATTCAGTAAACTGGGTGGTACCAGTCGCAGACAGAGGGCGCTATGACGACATCTTCCTCAAAACAGACACTGATCTTGACGGCTTCGTCAGCGGCCAAGAAGTTAAAGAAATCTTCATGCAGTCCAGCCTTCCTCAGAATTTCCTGGCGCATATTTGGTAGCTGCTTTCGTTAATCACTTTTGTTTTTCTTCACTCTTCCTGTTGTGATTGGCACACTCATCACTTCCTCTGCTGTCTTTGTCAGGGCTTTGGCGGACACCAGGCAAATGGGCAAACTTACGCGCGAGCAGTTCTCCTTAGCCATGCATCTCATTCAGCTGAAAGTCAGCAAAGGCATGGATCCTCCGCAAGCTCTGACTCCAGACATGATCCCACCGTCTGAACGTGGCACACCGGGACCTGTAAGTCACGTCAGCATGTTTATCATCGCACGCTTAAATTCATCCTGGGGTTCTGCAGCTGACTGAAAGGCTGTAGTATTGAACCCCAGAGGAAGTCCAGTCCCAGAGAAGATCCATGTAAAGAGTGTGCTGTGATTATAATATATAAGCAGTATCTGCAAAATGATTTGAATGAAATATCATGGTCCAGTGTTGTTATTGTTACAATGTAATATCCCATAAAAATTTATGGGCTGCCCTCGATTTAAAGATTTTTCTGGTCGACCAGTAGTCGTTTATGTTAAGCGGTTAGTCGACTAATCGCATGTAGCCTATATATTAATAAACCATAAATCATAGTAATGACCGTTTAACTGCCTATGTAGCGCACGAATAAGGTTTGCCACACAGCGCACCGGCATAAGTAATGATTATGAATGCATCAGGGAAAAAAAAGCAAGGAGACAGCCTTAACATTTTAATAATTCGTTGATAAACCAGTGTTTGCTGTATTTTCGGCTGCAGTGATGAATTGACGATCTCCTCAGTAGATGCGCCTAAATTAATGTTTCATACATATCACATCACCTGAGAATAGTTGTTTTCCATCTGAATTGGTTCGTTTAAAAGAAGACATTTCACTTTCTATAGATAGGCCTATATTTCTTATGCCTGAGGCAAGTATACACAGAGTTTCGTTTTATTATTTGACGTGCTCAAGTTCAAAGACCGTGATGTGATGGCAGAATGCGCACCCTGTTTGCTTTCATTATTTCACAAAATCACAAATTATAGGTTAACGTTAGAGCGAGCGGCCATGTGAAGTTGCTACTACTTACATGTTTCAGAATCATATTTGAGGTCGATGAATGATAGGCGAGCGTTTGGATGCCCTGGCCGATGTCCTGTATATTACCGCATAGAGCAGCTGTTAACAATCTTTCGTCGCAGAATGCATGACTTCGCCACTTCCTGTGGATTTTTTTTCTTCTTCCGACTAAGCGACTTCCAACCCGGTACTAGCAAGGTGTACCTAATAAAGTGGCCAGTGAGTGTATATATATATGTGTTTAAATTATAAATAAATTTATAATTTAATTTAAATTATAAATACAATTTATTTTATAATACTAAATAAAATAAATAAAACACACACATACATAAATAAAAAACAAAAACTAATAAAAATCATAAAACTTAACAAAAACCTAAACTAAAATTTAAAACTGAAAATATAAAAATAACTTACGAAAAATAATAGTATATATTATGATGGTACTTAAATAATACTAAACTAACACTGTCCTGGTCATATTTTACCCCCAAATCAATACTATATGTTTCATATCATATTGGATTACATTTCAAATGAAATGTTTTTAAATTCCGATAGGAATGTTTCCAACACCTTGTTGAATCTATGCCACGAAGAATTAAGGCAGTTCTGAAGGCAAAAGGGGGTCCAACCCGGTACTAGCAAGGTGTACCTAATAAAGTGGCCAGTGAGTGTATATATATATGTGTTTAAATTATAAATAAATTTATAATTTAATTTAAATTATAAATACAATTTATTTTATAATACTAAATAAAATAAATAAAACACACACATACATAAATAAAAAACAAAAACTAATAAAAATCATAAAACTTAACAAAAATCTAAACTAAAATTTAAAACTGAAAATATAAAAATAACTTACGAAAAATAATAGTATATATTATGATGGTACTTAAATAATACTAAACTAACACTGTCCTGGTCATATTTTACCCCCAAATCAATACTATATGTTTCATATCATATTGGATTACATTTCAAATGAAATGTTTTTAAATTCCGATAATGAAATATCATGCGTTTAATAAAAAAATGAAAAAATTATCTTGTCCAGATAAAATGTTACATTTTTTTTTAATAAAAAAAACATTACATTAAAATTTGCATAATTTAAATACATATACGAATAGTAATGTTAATAAATGCTTTAATATTTGAATAATATTTATTTATTTCAGTCTGAAATACTCGCGTTGAAGCAGATCTCAACAGCCCTAAAATAGGTTTCACATTCCTTTTGCAAAATGCTGTTGCATATTTTTCATTTTTATTTTGGAGAGAATATATGACCCTAACATGTTTTTGACTGTTTGTTTTTTTAGATTTACCCACCTGCATTATCTTCAGTACAATAAACGAATAATGAGCAATGTGAGCTGATACAGTATCACTTAATAAAGTATTAAAATGAAATTGCTATTTACTACTATTATACTTTCTATACAGATCGTAGCGTAATGTATTGTGTAGCAGTATTATTGTCCCTCATTTGAAGTGCTTCCTGTTTTTTTTTTTTCTCAGAGTCTGTCGGGTTATATGACACCAGTGGGCTCTGACATAGCCGCACTGACCGAGATGCGCCGGGTAAACAATCTCTTTCTTTCCATGTATTTCAACTTAAGTATCACTTGTCACATTTCTACAAACCCTAGGCGTTTATCAGATGAATCTGTCATCATTTACAACACATCAAGAGAGCCACTCTAGCATCTTATCACAAGCGCAACAGTTAAAAAAATATGGAAAATCTTACCAAACAATCTTCTGTTCCTTTCCATCCACATTTCAATGCTGCTGATGTTTAATGCCGTTATCACTGGCTAAAATCAGGCGATAATGTTCAAGTTATGGGTAGGTAATATTTGGGAAAAGCCTGAACAAATGCTTTCGATGGTCTGTTAGCCGAGACGTTGAGTTGAAAAGCATTTGTGAGAGATCCAGTGCTGTGTCTTGACTTCCCCATGTTTTGAACGTCAGAGGTGGAAGACGAGCTGGTCTCTGCTCCCGTGTGGTGGCTGCTTGCTGTTCTCTACCCTTCCGTTTGTGTGGTGCTGTGCGTCTGTGTGCTTCAGATGCAGCAGGACTGACTTTATGTGCTGGACCCCCTCATACAGGACAGCTCCAGCTCCGTGGGTTCAGGCGAGTTCACCGGGATTAAAGAACTGGACGAAATAAGCCAAGAGATCTCTCAGCTGCAGAGGTAACGCAGTACACTGACATCTAATGGTGATGTGCGCTATATTTGAATTGCCAACAAAATTCACAAGACTTTAATTTATATGATATATTTTTCCTGTTATTTAATAGATTTAATAATCTAGTGCTGTCAAACGATTAATCGCGATTAATCGGATCCAAAATAAAAGTTTTTGTTCACATAGTTTATGTGTGTGTACAGTGTATATTTATTATGTATACATAAATACACAACCATGCATGTATATATTTAAGAAAAATATGTTACGTTTATATATTAAATATATTTATATATATAATATAAATTATATGAATATAAATATATACATGTAAATATTTTCAAAATATATACTGTATGTGTGGGTATTTATATATACATAATAAATATACACAGTACACACACATAAACTATGTGAACAAAAACTTTTATTTTGGATGCGATTAATTGTTTGACAGCACTATAATAATCATACACACACGCAACTTTTTTTTTTTTTTATATAGTTTGGGGTCAAATAAATGAATTAATAATTATTTCAGCAAGGACTCATTAAATTGATTAAAAGTGACAGTACAGCCATTTATAATGTCACATAAAATAGCTTTTTGGAGCTTTATTCATCAAAGAATCCTGAAAAATACTGAAAACGTATCATGCTTTATACAAAAACTCGAATGATACTGAATGTGTACCATGGTTGTTATAGTTAACTAAAACCACAAAATATAATAATAAAATATTAAAAAGTAAAACCTAAACTAGTTTTATTTCACTTAGTTGCCTAGGCAATATTTCTCATGTTTAATGTAGTTTAACTTGATGTAATAGAATAGCTAAAAGTAAAACTGAAATTAAAATGAATATAAACTATATAGACATATTTAAGAAAAACTAATAAAATGGCAAAAACACAACAGAATTCCTAAACCTTTAACTAAAATTAAAGTGAAAGTAAAAATAAAATAAAATATATATATATATATATATATATTAGGGCTACACGATTAATCAAATGTGATTGTCATGTGCATTTTGATAGTAATGCCGGCTCTGTAATCAGCAGGAAATCATCATCACATGCTTTCAGATGGAGCAGAATTTACTACACATATAGTTCACTGTTTTATTGCTGAAGAGTGTTTCTTCTCCTGCGTTCTACTGTACAGACGTGAATTTACTTTTCCTTCAGCCTGAGGTTTATTCTTTAGACTTTTTGGTGTGAAAGGGCTTTTATATTTGCTATAAATAGAACTTTTAAATTAAAAACAATCAAGCCCTGCTTATATTTTAAAAAGTAACGCAAAAATAATATAACGCATTACTTTCCATAAAAAGTAACTAAGTAACGTAATTAGTTACTTTTTTAGGGAGTAACGCAATATTGTAATGCATTACTTTTAAAAGTAACTTTCCCCAACACTGATCACAAACTATATATATATATTAATTATAACCATATATTAAATGTGTTATTAATATGATACATTTTAAATGTTTATTTATTTATTTATTTTGATAAATATATTATACAAGTATTTTAGAAGTCTTAAAATATATTTAAAATATTACGATTTTTTAAGTGTTGTTGAACTTGTGAAAATGAGCATGCAAACTGTTTTAATAAGTGTTTGTCCATGTGTGGAAATGTTATTGTGTAAATCCCTTCTGGTTCTCTTCATTCTTCTGAAACGACCTCCAAAAAAATAAATGCAATGGAAAAACAGTATTTCCCTTAGGTACAGTACTGCAACAAAACACAGTGTGTGAAATTTTCTGCCGCTGTGCAAAGTGTGTGAATAGTTATTTAAATATATATTTTTTTAATTCATACTTTTTTTTTTCCAGGTTTTAATCAACTTGTTTTAAAGTGTGGACATTTTTTTAAATGTTGAAAAAATGATGCAATCTCAGCTTTTGATTTATTTTAAGGAGGTCGAGATTTTTTTTCTTTCTGGATTTTGCCTCGTCCCGTCTTTGTTGTCCATTTTTCTGTTTGGCTCTCCCCACCGAGTCTAGCATTTTTGTCCTTTTCCGAACAGTTGCCTTATAGATGACCCTGAACAGACTCTCATGCTAACACGCACCCTTCAAAGAAAGAGGAAAGGTACCCGAGAGCTCTTGGTGGTGGATGAGTTACCCTCTCCCTAGCAAATCCTCATCTGTTCACTGTTAACGTGTGTGTTTTCTTTACGAAATCTCTTGTTTCACTTGCTTATTCATGCTGCCTCAGCACTCTTGCTTTCACACACTGGGATACACTCAGGTAAAACCTTCTCTTGGCTGTCACGGTTTTTGTTTTGTGTGTGTGTGTGGAGGCAGGTATGAGGGATGTTTTCTAGCTGACAACAGTTGATAAAGGTTTTTGTGTCTTTTGTTTGATCATTTCAACAGGGAGAAATACACTTTGGAACAAGACATCAGAGAAACAGAGGAAGCCATCAGACACAAAACCACAGAGGTTCAGGTATTAATGATAATAATAATAAAAGATTTTTATAATTTAAAAATATACTTAATGTTATGGATTTATTTAAAAGCAATTGTCTTATAATTTATAAATATTGTTAACATTTGTTAATAATTAAAAAAATTTTTTTTTAAATAAATGAAATATTAAAGAAAATTAGGTAAAATATTTGTTTAACATTTAAAAGTAAATATATTTTAGTATATTGCATGTTGTATAATTTATAATTACCAATATAATTATAAAATATACTGATTATTAGTAGTATTATTAATATTTAAAAATACTTTTGTAAATATATTTAATATACTTATTTTGTTGTTATTATTTGTTAAAGTTATATTAAATATAAAATACATTTAGTATTTTAGTATAAAACAAAAAATAAAATAATATATAGTTAAATATTAACATAAATATACTTGCATATAATGTAGTTTATTTTTATTACGTTCTAAGATAAATATATTAATATATTTAAGTATTAACATATTTAGAAGTAAATGTATTTTAATATATTATAAATTATATTGACATTAAATTCTTTAAATTATAAATTATTCTTAGTGTTATTAATATTTAAAAGTAAATACATTTCTAAAGAATTTAATATAAATATAATTGAACTAGTATTTTTACTATTATATAAAAGTATACATTATTAAATATATTTAAAGAGTTATTAATATAATAATTGAAAAATATTTTACTTGTATTATTGTTCTGTGAAAATATATTTGAATTAGTATTAATAGTTTTTTTTTATTTGTAGTATTTTATTCTTAGTTATAAATATATGTGAAAATTAGTATTAAGTTATTAATATAATAATTTAAAAGTATTTTACTTGTATTGTTCTGTGAAAATATATTTGAATTTGTATTAAGTATTTTTATTAGAAGTATTTTATTCTTATAAATATATATGAAAATTAGTACTAATATAATAAACTATTTAAAAGTATCTGTTTTTTTTTTTAATGCACACGTTATATGTTGGCTTCATTATCAACTGAATTTGCTTTGATTGACAGGAGATGCAGAACGATCTGGACCGAGAGACGTCCACCCTCCAGGAGCTTGAGGCGCAGAAGCAGGATGCTCAGGACCGACTGGAGGAAATGGACCAGCAGAAGGCAAAGCTGGAAGACATGCTTAATGACGTACGGCAGAAGTGCCAGGAAGAGTCGCAAATGGTGAGTGAAAACCTTGAGAAGACTTGAGAGGATTACGAGATCCTCAGTGACGATAAACATTCAACACATCCGATCTGTTTCTGTTCAGATCTCATCCCTACAGTCCCAGATCCACTCGCAGGAGTCAGACCTGCAGAGCCAAGAGGAAGAGCTGGGCCGGGCCAAGGCTGACCTGAACCATCTGCAGCAGGAGGAAGCTCAGCTAGAGCAGAGTCTACAAGCTGGCAGGATTCAGCTAGAAACCATCATCAAGTCCCTCAAAGCCACACAGGATGAGATCAACCAGGTGGTGCCTTCAGAGCAGTTTCTATTCCAACCACTAGGGTGTGACAACACCTAAAGATGTCCTTATTTCAAATGCGTTCATGCAAATATGACATTAGAAGGCAGACACCAGAAACTGTTGTCTAATAATGCCAGAAAAAAAAGGAAAATGTGCTAAGCGTTGAAGTATGTAACGGACCGAACTGATGTGTGTGTGTTGCAGGCTCGGAGCAAACTCTCCCAGATCCAGGACAGCCAACACGAGATCAGTAAGAGCATCGAGCAGTACAGCAGCACCCTGAACGGAACCCACGGGGGCAGCATGACCAACCTGGCCGACATGAGCGAAGGCTTTCCAGAGAAGGAGAACGGTGGTTTCGGGGTTATGGTGAGACATTTTAGGTTGTATTTTAAAGAACCTATTCATTGCCATTAAAGTGAAATTACTGAACCTACACACAGGAGAACACATGATAAAAATGCTCATTTTAGAAGAACATTTCAGATGGCACTTAGAGGCTTTTGCATCTGAGCTCTCCATATATATATATATATATATATATATATAAATTACTTGGAATGGCAATCAAACAAAATCAGATAATGCACAAGTAAATATTTACTGTACATAAATAAAATTATATATTTGTAAAATTATATATATACATATATGTATATATTAGGGCTGTCAGTCTATTACAAATTTTAATCTGATTAATTACGTTTCGATTAATTAATCTAATTAATTGCAATCTAATAAATTTGACTGAAAATATCCACCGAGAATATTTAAAGCTATTTTTGTGTTAAACGAGAAAGTATCAAGTAGACATTACAAATTGTAGCTT